AGCCTTGGCATTCTTTCTTTGTCATTCATTCCCCTCTTTGGTAATATAATAGCCATCACAAAACTTTAAAGCAATGAGCTTTTGGTGAATACACAGCTTTTCTTGCTGAATATGGCTAAGGTATTTGCTGACACACTGCAGTATCATTCTTTGTATTCAAACTACAGTAAAACCCAAGAGAAAGCAAAACTGCAAAGTGTTTAGAAACTTTTCTTGAGGCAAATAATGGGCATGCATGATTTCTAGCTCTCAGCAGTCATGTTCAAGTAAAGGCCATACACAGTCTAAACACCCCCTAAGTCTCTAAGCAGACCCTTCTTATTTGCTAGCTCCAGGGAGAATGATTTTTTTTATTGAGTCATTACAAAAGGGCTGCCATCTCTCACTGCTGCCTGCACACAGGTTTTGAAGCATAGTTTGGGTGGACAGGACAACTAATAATAACAGGAACATAACCTAAGTTTTCTGTTTTATGTGGAGGTTAACTCTCTGGACAATTAGCAACACTTTTACTAGAAAATGAAGAGATGAAATTTTGCCCACAGACATTCACATTGACTTCTCATGTGACCTCCTGCTGATATAGCATCTCAGGGCAGAACTTGGATGCAAGTTCCACAGACGACTGATTGTACAATCAAGTACTTGTTGTTGATCGTATAACTTTCTAGGCTTTACAGTGGATGGGCTGAGGGGAAGACAGAGCCGGGGAGAGTACGTAGGAAGGTTTTTATTCCTCTGGCATTTGACTTCAGCACCCAAAAAGGTAATTCGACAAGTTGCCCTGTTTGTGATCAGTTAGACTTCCTACAACATGTTTATCAAAACTCCCTGGGGCTTCAGACTAACCATGATACATTCATTTGGCACTTTAAAGTGATATGTTTATCATCATTATGACTCACTGATAAATTTGGAAAGTTAATGTATGTGTCTCTATGTTGCATTTTAACTGAAATATGAAAACACCATGGGATTGATTTCCCTGTCATGCTTCCTATCTCCAACGGTTTATTCCACAACCATGAAGAAAAGTGTAGATCATTTCTTTTATGCTGACCAGTGCTTCACTCTTTTTTGCTTGCTACACACCAACAACAGTGGAGTTACAGTGACATAAACCAGAAGAATACAGTCAAAAATCAGATCCTTCCTACATAAAATCACTTCCCACATCTGTTTCCTTTTTGTCTAACGACAAAATGGGGTAATCTTGGGAATACCTTCTGCTTTAACTGTCCTACCACTGATTTTATAGTCTTAAATATCTATTGGTGTGCATATTGAGCGATTATCATCTACTAAGAAAAAGATCCTGAGAAAACATAGATTGATAATAACATTTTCCAGTAATGGCTTATAGCATTAGTAGCATTTTCTATTATTGCAGTTCAGGTCTAACATTCTCCTCAATTTACTATTTTTATTTATTTTTCAAGATCTAGATATGGACCCTACCACAGAATTAAATACATAAATACATTCTTTTTCATTATTTATTTATTTCTGGTTAAAAGGAACAAAGTCAGAAAATTGGATGGAAGTGAGGAATGCATCTGAACTACTAAAAAGTAGAAAGGACAAAGGGAAATGAAGAAATTTAATATTGTGAAAGATATTGCAGATCCAGGATGACTGTATAAACATAATCAGGCAAGCTTCATCTACAAGAACATGCCTTAGGAGACTGAACTTGAATTCTGTGATCAAACTTCACAAAATTGTGCCCTGACTTTTTATCTTAAAGTTTAGTAAGCCTCTCCAGATAGACTGCATTATTAATAATTAATTTTCCCTTCGCCAATTTCTCCAGTAAATGAAGTGAAATGTGAAGTCCTTCTGGTGTTCCTTTGAGAATATGTAATACACACACAGAGATAACACAGATATGTGCTTGCATAATGTAATTAAACAAGCCTGCAACAAAAACTATAGCCCATGATCCACTTAGAGAAACATGGCCTCGAAAGATATAAAATAATGCCATGTGGAAGTGTGTTTGGTCATTGATCTGGACAAGGCCTGAATTCAGCACAGACTAGCAAGATGGGGAAGGCAGGGTGCCAGAGAGAGCATTGGTTCCAGATATTTGAATTCGCTGGTCATGAGAAAGACATCAGATATTTGCATGACTGATCTTCACATTAAAATAAATAAATAAATAAATAAATAAATTACCAAGGCAATTGCTGAATAAGATTTCAGTCATTATTTTAATTTTTACTTTTTACATCCCCACAACAACACCGTGGACTTCCAGGACTCCATCAGTGAACACTGGAGCATTGCCCTTGAGGATAAAAGCATTGCGTGCAATTTTGAGACTTGTTTGTGAACACTGGACAAAGATGCCTTCTAGAGTTTACATTGGAGTAAAGCTCTGATGAAATTTAGCCTGAAATTTAGTAGAGAAGAGAAGGTGAATGGACAACTTAAGGATAGACTATGACTACTTCAAGGGTAAATACAAATTGAACCATAGAATCAGAATGGTTTGGATTGGAAGGGACCCTTAAAGATCACTGAGTTCCAGCCCCCTTGTCATGGGCAGAGACACCTTCCACTAACTCAGGTTGGTCACAGACACATCTGCATGTGGATGGGGCATCTACAACTTCTCTGGACAACCTGAGATCAAATAGGAAAGACCAACACTCTTTGCTATCATTACAGATGATATAATAAAGACCAAAAAACATATATTACTCCTTGGAAGGTTTGATTTAGAAATAGTGCTTTGTTAACAGGACAAAGGAAGGTTTTCATGATTTGTTTAGACAAAACCAAAGCTGACCATAACCTGTGTTGGCAATAGTCTTACCTCAAGTGGAAGGTTTAACTTACTGATACCAATAGATCCCTTCCAATCGGAAACTCAGTGATTCTCTGATTGTAAAAGGGCAATGATAATAAGAAAGAGGGAGGTTTAGATAGTCCGTGGAAGCAGTGAGTGCTGTAGGGACATGAGAATTGAGATAAAGAGATGATGTATTATGAAATAACTAAGGAAAAATATTGTAGCATCTTCTCAGTTGTTTTCTACTATGAATACATATTTTAAACATATTTTGTTCTGTTTTTTTTTTTTGTTCATTTTCCTAAAACAGGTAATTGATCTCTGACCAGGCAGAATAAACAAATAAATAAAACAATAATAGTAAATAATAATAATTAATTAATTATTATTATTAATAATAATAATAATAGGTTGAAGCATGCTGTAGTTGCTACTACAGCCTAAACTACTTTGTCCTGTGAATATCTGTTAAAGGAGGACCTTCAACATCTACCTTAGATAGGCATAGGCATAAGCAACTGAGGACTGGGTGCACAGACTTAGATAACCAGAATAGCTGTCAGGGTGTGTCCTGGCATTGGAATTCCTTGACTTTGTTAGGTGTCAATGAAAATTAACAACACTGCTGATGGGAAATGGAAATTTCAACATTCAGCTGAAATTCAGCTCCAAAAGTCTTCTGTCAATGTAATGTCTACTATGCAAAAAACATCTATTCTTCTAGCTTTACCCTCAATGCAAAACATAAGATAAACAAACTATTAAGTTTGATTGGCAGATTTAGTTCCCTATTTAAAATTAAAGTAATTAAACGTACTGAAAAACCCATTGCTGTGTATTTACCGACCTTGATTTGAAAGTTAGTGCTGACTGAGACACTTTTTAATCTTTCTTTATAACCCCATGTACTTTACTTTTTCCCCAGCTGGTATTTTCTAAAAGTTGCATTGCACAGTACTGGAAAAAAAATAAAATTAATAAATAAATAAAAAAATAAATAATAATAATAAAAAAAGATCTGGTGATGCAGACTTCCCTTAAGCCACAAACACCAATATGAATCGTATATACTGTGCGCTATTTAATTCAACTTTTTTAAAGTGTCCTTTCATCAAATAATGTTGTTTTTTCCTTTCTTTTTTCCCCCCCACAGGACAACATTTTCAGAATGGAAGATTCTCATTTTGAAAATGGCCGAGGGAAAAGCCCTTATGATCCTAAATTGCTGACAGCTTCTCTTTTAGTCGGTAGGTGTCAGAACCTGTGTTCAATGAGATGTTCACTGCACAGATGATAATTGCCAGTTTTCTCTTTTTTTTTTTTTTTTTTTTTTTTTTCTGCTTATACTACCTATGATAGGACTTTATGTGCTTTCTTTCTAGGCTGAAGTCATTCTGGTTTCATTTTTTAATATAGTTGGCCCAGCTGTCTTGAGAACAAAGTTTGTGTAAACCAAGATTCAAGAATCATATGAATTACTTTATCCTTCTGTAAGGCCTTGATTCTGCAGTGTGTTTCTCCTTCTCAGAGAAAGGTGACTCTGGAGGCATTTTAATTGCTCAGTTTACTGTCTGGCCTCACTGATGGCTGAATCAGCAGATCTAGGAATGAAGTGAGATCAGGATTAAGCAATTCCTTGTATCAGTTTTGTTGTAAAAGGTCATAACCAATTTTTACTTACGTGTGAGCTAGAGATACACAAGCATTCACAGGTCCAAGACTTAAGATGATGTTTCAGCTAAAGAAATATGACAGTGAATGCAATTAAGTTCCTGGCCAGAAAAGAGAAATTTCAATAAATTAAATATACATGAATTAGTAATGCCTAGTTTTGTGGAATATGGATGTATAGAGCACCTGGCCTGTGTTAATCTAATTGAACTAACCTAATTGATTGGATTTATCTAATTGATTGAATTTATCTAATTGAATTGTGTTCATTGTTTTTCCTTCTTCCTTTAAAAAAAAAAAAAAAAAAAGGAAAAAGCTGTTTTACGAGAAGAAATTAAGAGCAAAACAAATTTGATTCTTCTTTCTGTAAGAACCCTACCCAGGTGTAGCCACTTAACATCCTTAATGTGTAACTTTCTGGAAATTAATCACAACTTCAAAATCAAGGGGACAACAGTATCTCAGAAGACTGCAGATTCTCTTATCACATAAGTCTTTAGGAAATGACAAATAATATAAAATAATATACCCTGTTTCATCCAGGACTTTGCCTGTATTACTAGTCTTTCCTAGCAACTACCTGTATTGTATTTACATTGCACTTAAAAGTGAAGCTATTCAAAAGAGACAGCAACAAAAATTTAATCTTCAGTGGGCCTCATTTCCTGATCTTCGAAGCCCATAATGATCACAGGTGATGAGCTACCCTGGGGACATGCACTTTTTAAAAGGGGAAAACAAAAAAGATGTCCACATCTTGCTCCAACTTGTACCCCATACAAACAGAAGGGAAAAAAATTGTGTGTAAAAGGCCATTGTATAAATTAGTGCCTGGAGCAACATGAATTTGTGGCAGAGATGCTCTCAAGGGAATGGCTTTACTATTTACTTTAATATACAATAAAGAAAGAGAATGATGACAAGCCAGTATTACATGGTATACCCGGTATGCAACTGCACAAAGTCAACAGCGTCTAGCTTTTCACATTCTTTTACTTTTTTTTTTTTTTTAAACTCAGTCCTGCACAAATATGATTATCTTATTTCCCTTGGCTTAGATTTCATGTCTTTAAAACATCTTTGCTTTCTTGACCCTACTCTCTATCACTATAATTTTCACTCCATGTATTCTTCTTCCTAATAAATAGTAGACTGAGCATCATATTTTGATCTGAATTAGACTTCAAATAGAATCATGGGTGTGTTAACACTGTGTAAAATGGCACAGTTTCAAAATTCAATGCCAGTGACTAATTTCTGCTTTAGTGATACACAAAACTCAGGGTGAAGCTAAAATTAACATTCCTGCATCCTGAATATGAACACCCTTTTTCCTCTGACTATTCATAGCTGCTTCACAATTATATTGTGTTAATGATTGTAATGCTGCATTTATTTCAATCTTTTACTGAAGACATTCCCCTGATATTTAAGTGTACAGCAGATTCACCACTGGTTCAGAATGGCTTACTCTTATCTTTGCCAAAAAACAAAATTTGTGGCAAAATGATGACCAAAGGTAAAATAATTTCCTGTCCTGAGGTTGGAGGTGAGAAACTTCATACCACCCTGGGAGGTGAGAAACTGGTACTGACCTGTCCAAGGTATGGAGAGGTACGATCCAACTGCTTTCTGAAGCAGGTAGCACTGGCATGAAGTAATGAATGGGACTATGAAGGCCAGAAGACCTTCTTGACCACAAATCCCCTATACAAAGAACAGGAATGGACTGCCTTTTCCCTTCTAAGCTGAATGATACTCAGCTGCTCCTGGCCCCTTTTTTGCCAGTCCCTATTCACAAGCGAATAAGGATCATTTTAGGTTCAAGAGGGCAACTGTAAAAAAACTTACCCAGCACTCATTAAAATTCAACATTGTAATTAGTAACACAATGTAGCTATAAGGAAAAAGAAAGCTGAGAAGTAAAAGTAATTTGTATGGTTAAATGCAAGAAGGAAAAAATAACTTACATTCTTCATCAAAAACATTAAAGAAAGATTTTACAAAGTGGGGGAAAGTTGTATATTCTCGACTTTTTAACTAGAGGGTAAATCTTAGGTATGTAAAATGTAATTACACAAGCTGGAATTTGGTCAAAATACCAAGGTTAATTTACAAAAAGTAATTTAAGATCTTTAATAGCCATTAATACTCAGAATTCTTATTTTCTGTTTCAGCTGAAACTTCTATAAAAAGGATCTTCAGAGTTCCTTCTCTCCTAATAAAATCAATAATATTTGGAAAAACAACTGCAAAAGTTCACCATTATTAAATTGTTCCAATATTTTTCTAATGTGTGTTCTTCGTTTCATCCTGCAAATATTTTTTCATTATTTTTTGAGAGTTGTTCAATAAAAGTAGTTATTGTTACTCTACTCTTAAGTAAATACCAGCTGGGAACATGATATAACTAGTTTCCAGTAATGTAAGACATTATACAGCTATCCCCATCTATATGCTGCTAACTAAACAATCCCCAATGAGTAGGCTAATGCATGAGAATGTAGAGACTAAGCAGTCCCTGGGCACTATTCCAGGGTAGGAGGAAAATGAGAGGGAGCATGGTGTTCACAGGAAGTAATCACAGGAGAAAATTATCACTGAATTTATTAGTCTAAAGCAATTGTATGGGGATAGTTGGAAAAAAAAAATAAAAAAAATGTTTCATGTTTCACTTATTTTTAATATATATATATATTGGCACTGGTTTAGATGTCTTTATACTTTCAAATATAGATTAATGTGATCTGAAATACAGTAGCTTCTTACAAAGGAAGAGAGTATGGTCCAATTTATTAGAATTTAGCTACTAAATTCATTTGAGATTCAGGATTTTTTAATTTATTTTAGTTTCTGGGATGTTTTGACTTTTAATTTTAACAGGAATTTCTTCAAGCCACTGTTGTGTACTTCTACAAATCTTAATTTTAGTTATATATAGTTTTATAGTTTTTTTTATTTATAGTTTTTGTACTCTCCAAAAAGATATATATATATATTTAAGAATACAGATTTGTATTTATTTTTTTTAAGGGCTAAATAGAAACAATTCAACAACAACAACAACCAAAAAAAAAAAAAAGTATACATTTCAGCTTTTAACATAATAGCATCTAATGAACTTGGGAAGACGTTGGGGAGAGTCATACAGTTCCATGTGGCTTCTGTTCAGTACATGGGAAAACTAATTCCTCTTCCCCTATTTTCAGTCCCAAAGGTGGTCTGCATAGGGAAACAAAGATTAACTTACATTTAACTGGAGGCAAGTAAAAATTCTTGTATGTCTTTTGAATAGTTATAACTTAAAGGATGCGCACATCTGGAATATGACTTGAGACTCATCCTGAATTTAGCAAAAATTATCTAAAGTCTTACTAAATGAAAGAGTATTCCTTGATATTCCTATCTGAGAGAGGTCCAAATCCCCTTATTTCTTTACTGCAGCACCACACCTCTAATCCTGCCAAAAATTAAAAAGGTTAGGCCTGTGTCCATGAAAATACATATAAACGCTAAAGGGCTGTTCTGTGGCTTCAGTGCACAGGAAGCTATTTATCACGTATTCTCCTGAGTTAAAGATTGTATCTGAAGTCCACTGACTTCAACATACCTTTAGATGGTTCCTTCTGGAAATCAAAGCAAATCAGTTGAAATTGCAGTCACTGGAGTGGGTATACTGAAAGCTGGAGAAGCTGTAATAGAAAGCAAAGACAAGGCAGCTGGTCTCCTGTAGATCCTTCTTTCTTCAGAACATGCTGAAGCCCATCATTGGCAAAACTTTCAGCCTGTCACTACTGACAAAAAGTACCCGACACATCAGAGCAGACTAGCCTTAAGTGGTTTTGGGATTAACCGAGTCAAACCTGGAATATATGTGACTTTCAGTGGTGTTTATATAGTGAGCTAGAAACTGAGGTGTTAAAACTCCCTAAAATTCTAACTATTGTAAATATATAATTTCAATTAGTTTTTTTGTTATTTCTTTAGTTTTAGTAATGTAGTATTAAATAAAGTATATATATATATATATATATATTAATTGTTTGACCTTTCTATCTGCTGATAACTAGGATATAAAATAGGGCTTGTTACATTTTTTATTTTTCCCTTATATTTATATTGATCTATCCTATATCACTTGGGAGTGGAAGACAAGCAAATGAAGATAAGGTTAAATAAATGTTAAGCATAGTATCATATCAAAGCCATTTTCACAACCAAAAAGATTTTACATATTTTAAAATCTCAGCTGCATACCCAGTACATAATAATCGCTATAATTAAGTGATTGTCTGTCCTTCAAAAAAAGTTGAAAATGTCATAGTGGAATGATAAATCGTTAATTAATGATATGCTGTTCTGTTTCACTTTTGATTACACCTCCTGCTGGGCAAGACTAGTCTATTTGCTTCTAATCTCTGCTGTGAATTCATTCAATTCCACACCTTTCTGTTATCATGTTTTCACCCTTTTTGACTTTCATGACTACCATATGGTACAGAGCCGCTGTACATGTAGGTTCAATTGATAATTTCATGGTGTCAATATTCTGGGGAAAAGATACCAGTGATATCACAACAGCATGTTTGGACATGGTTGACCCACCATCCAAGCACCTAAAATTGCCCTGAAAATGATACACTTCTTTGTAAAGAGTGTTTTGAAATGAAGGTATGGTAGAGTTCATTGTGACTATAAAATATTATTACTTTAGCTTAAAGAAAGAGCTATTTCATCCTCAAACTTCTGTTTTTCACAGGAAACCTATTTAAAATAGGTAGCCTGAAAAGAGCAAGTAGAAAAAATAATGCTTTTTAATTCCTTATTAAATAGGAGAGGGTATCTCATTTCCTATACAGGCATAGAAGGGCATAGTCCAAAAAAAAAATGCATTTTTTAGCTATTTAAATTCAGAGTATTTTCATAGGCAAGCTCAAAAAAAAAAAAAAAAATAAATATCAGAAAGACACGTAGTTTTTTGATTCCTGGACGTTTTTTGTGTGTTCCACTGCTATGTATTTATTATTTTAAATTTCTCTACCAGTTTCTCTGTGATCCTTGTACCTGGTTAAAGATGGGCATATTGGGACCCTAATATTATGACCTTCATCCGCAGCTAGGCTACGTGTATGTCATGTATGGGCTGAAGTGTTACAGGTCAATTTTTAAACCTGTTCACTACGGTACACATGGGATAAAGGTAGTAGGAGATGATCTCCCTTTACTGTTGCACTTTACCAATCTTAATTACAAAGGTAGGAGCAGCAGAAAGGCATGTTTGTATTCCCTATAGAAGATATATTTTACAGAGGATTTCCCTGATTAAGGAAAATAATTAATAATAATAATAATAATAATAATAATAATATATGGAGATGTCCAATGTTCTTGTATGAGGAATTCACAAGACATGATGACATTCTGAACTGCAAGTGAATGAGCCAATTTACTCTTCCAAACACAGAATAACAAAACCCCAGTAAACTGGGAGGAACCTCTGGAAGTCTCCAGTCAAAACTTCTGTTCAAAACAGGCTAATTTCACAGTTGGGTAGATTTTTGGGTCATTGCGTACCAGTGTCTTCTAGGTATAGGTGTACAAGCCGTCATTGTTCCAGCCTGAGAATCCAAACACATCTTTGTGAAGTGCCTACACTAACAGTTGGGAAATACAGCTCATTTGAGAGAGGTTACAGTGATCTCTGCACTGAGAGTAAGCGGATCTAATCATAAATTTCCAATGACAATGCATTGCATATGGCTTATTGCTTTATAATTTTCTCATTAGCCCTATTAGTATAATATAAACATAGGACTGACAACTTTCTCTGACTTACCATGACTGGAAAATTGAGAAATGTTTCTTACAATTCAATCCTCCCGCAGATGGAGAATTGTACTCTGGCACAGCAGCAGACTTCATGGGCAGAGACTTTGCCATTTTCCGAACTCTGGGACATCATCATCCAATCAGAACAGAGCAGCATGACTCCCGGTGGCTAAATGGTATGTAAAATGTACATTTATCCAGTTACATTCGTCTAGCCATTAAAGACTAGCACACAGCTTCATTCCAGCAACATCTGTGACATATACACCCTTCTTTTATTTGGAGCAGAATTTTGTCTTAAACTAGTTAAACTAATCAAAAGTGATTTATAAAGAAGCATTTTTGTTTTAATTACATTGAGATTTGTGGAGTGTGATTAAATTTAAAACATATATAGAAGCTACAGCTAACACAATTAAGCCACAGCAGCAGATTGCTGTAGGGTGCAAGTTGGACAGAAGCTCAAGGCTTGTGGAGGCATCAGCCACACGTCAACACAAAGTAGCTACAGAGCCCTGGACAGGACTGTGCTCTGTATAGACTTTAATTTTTGAGTGGATTGCAAGGAATCTGACACCGTCCACCAAAGTCCAGCAGAAAGTGAATCAACAGTTTTATGAGTGGGCCAGAGCTGTCAGTAGTTTGGAAAAAGTGAAAGGAGTCCTGGGTATTCCAAGGTGTTGAGTTTCAAAATATTCAACAGTTTAACGCAATAAAAAAGTGTACATTATTGTACAGATATTACTAAAAAGCCTGTAGTTGCTTGTGTGTATGGGGGAAGAGGGAGAGTATCAGTGAAAACCTGTTTTTGCCTTCATGTGCCAAAATGCTTTAAAATATATTTGATTATTCTATCCAAGTTTGACTGGAATCAAATTTTCACTAACTTAAGTGGTTTTATGCTTGGCATTAACTATACCAGAATGATGCACATTTTGGAAATGAGTATTCATCACTTGAAAAAGCTGACATTTGATTTAAGTGAGACCGTAATACTAGCTGTAGGTATTCTGAGTTAATTTATATTTTAATTTTAAAGACTTGAATAGCCACTTTTGCTCTACATGTTGCTTGCATCTGCCAGACTTGCACTTCTGTTTTTGAATTCACAGAATATTTTGTGCTAAAATATTTTTCACTTCTGGCTATACTTATCTCTGTGCTGAGGTCCGAGTTTTCTTATGTGGTTTTGCAATTCAGTGTAAAGTGTTCATGCAAATTTTTAGGGTATAACAGAAGACAATCTTTTATCAACACAGTTTTATATTAGCTACAGTCAGGACCTTTTTGTTTCATACTGGCTATTATATTAGTGCTATGTATGATCCATAACATAGCCAATCAGTCTCATAATTAAAATTGCAAATTTTCATTCTGATAGTCATGATGACATAGAGTCCAATCATGCAAACAAAATTTGCTTCTGTGCAGTAGATTTGCACAATGACAGCTGAGTCAGGAGCATTTATGCAGTGGTAAAGCACAGCCATTGTCCACAGCCCCTGTACTTCATCGCTAAAAACGTGTCATTCCTTTGTGGATTCAGCTATCAGTCTTTCAGCACTAAATGTGAGAACTGCTTTTCTCAAATTAGCACTAAGGTTACATCTGACAGAGTGTAGAAACCACAACTGCTTTGTGCTCAAGATGGGGAGGAGAAGACATTCACACATAAAAAGCCAATGAAACTCAAGCACTCTAAAATTTAAGTATCATCCTAAACAAGCATAAATGTATAAACAAGTTATAAATGTTATAACAAGTATAAATGTTATAACTTGTTATAAATGTTATAACAAGTATAAACAGCATTTACCATAACACATGATGATTTTCAACTCCAAGTGTAGTTCTTGCACTGTCTTCCTGTATGGAAAGTTTCAAGCTAATTTTAAAATGCAAGAATCAGACTAGGGCTTTTAGAATTTATTCCTATAGCTATCTATAATTTAATAGACAATGATCCTGAAGTACATTCTTGAAGACATTCTGTCTCTACCTTGCAACTTAATAAAGTTACATTCCTAATAGGGAAAGGTTGGCTTAAAATCAGCACTACAATGTTCTTATTAAAGGCTCTAAAACTTCAGTGTTAATTTCTCAGTGATAAGGTTCTGGTAGCCTTTCTGCACAGCATTCCTACTTTCAGCATCTAATGGGGAAACCCATAAATGATAAGTGTCTGGGTTTGAAGCTCTGCAGACATGTCATTCCTTTGTTGTTGTTGTTGTTTTGTTTTGTATTTTTTAAATTTCTATATATTTGTTTTTACTTCAGCCATTTGACCGTTTTTAATGTAATTAAACAAAAGATTTGTGATTGCATATATTTAAAGTGGATATACTTCTAATGAAATATATTTATATTGAAGGATGAGATGTACTCTACATTCTTAAAGATCTGTACAAACTAGTTTTGAACCTTAAGTTTGTAGACTTTTATACATTTTCAGTAATGGCATGAATTATTACGTAGTGGTGGGTTTGCTATTCCAGTTGCTTTCTAGAGTGTGCTTAGCCTTAGGTTATAAACTACTATTCTAATGGACATACACTGAAAGCTTGATAAGGACAGCAATTCTGATCAAATTTACAAAGAGAAATTCTCATCCCAATGGAGTTTAATAGCTAGGTGGTGAGACATCTGGTTATAAGTCCTTGTTAATGTTTACTTTATTCAGAACAGAAACTTGAAACTGCTTTCCCCATATGAAGGCTGCAGGAAACACAGCTGCTTGGTAGCAAAAATGGAGAGAAGAAAATACTTGCACATAAGTTTACAAACTTTCTCTAGAATTTAAATGTCATCTGGAACTGGACAACATTGCACAAGAGTAATTAAGTTTTTAAGATTTAAGTATGAACAAAGAGTTCCTACAGACATCAGACAGTCACTTGCTGGAGATGTTCCACCTCAAATCTAATGTTGCTGGAAAGAGGGCTTTAAACTGTGCCCAGGCAAATGGAAGGTGCTAAGCAGCAGCTCTTAAATACTTCTAATTCTTTTAAAAAATTTGAACACTGTCAGGCTTGTAAAGACATTTCATTTTTTATAAATAATTAAACAGTCACCAAGCCAAATAAAGCAACGGAGACTGATTCTATAGCTGTGCAGTCAACACATTCATTTAGAAGGTAGGGAACCATACATTAGTCACTGTAGCAGTGTATATTTAATTATTGATATGGAGTTGGCCAGGTGTGACCTGGAGGCATTTGCAAAAACACAGCAAAATATATTGATGTTCAGGTAAATCACCTTGGATATGAAAAGTTCAGTGCCCCGGACTGAATCATGCACTTTGTTATAAGCCAAGCGCATGCTCACCCTGGATGTTACTGGCACGTCAAAGAAGTGCATGGAATTTCTCTGCACAAAAAGCTTTGACAGTCTGGGTTGGTCACAATGAGGGTCAAGAATAGTTTTGGACTCTCAGGAAAAAATAAAAATAAAAAAATCTTGAAATAAAATAAAACATAAAAATAATAAAAAATAAAACATAACAAATAAAGACATCTCCTATCCAGCTTAAGGAGTAATGGCTTTGATGTTGTATCCTACAGAGTTCTGCCCACAGGCAAAAAAACATGTTTTCCTTTAAATGTGCCATTACCTCCAGCCATCAGAGCCATCAGAATCCAGTGTTATTTCAAGAAAGTGTAGATCAGATCCATGATCTGTTTCCATGAACTCTTTCAGCAATAACAAAGATGAGTAGGAGGTGTGAGCAGGTTGGAGCAGCTTTCCCTGGTATGGGGGAGTTCCCCAGTGAGCTAAATGCAGAGTTTGCTGTACATCACCCATTCCCATCTCTTCAGCCTCAGAAGCATTCATGCAAGGGCTGAGGGCATGGCTAGAGGCAAGAAGGCAGAAATGGTGGTGCAGTGTACCAAAGCAAATGCTAAGCAATGCAAAAACAATGCACTGAAGACAGTTATTAAGTTGAAGATCAGGGGAGTGGAAGGAAAGCTTGGAGCTGCCCTCATCTTTCTTGACCTGAGCACAGGGGATCTGGCTTTAAATTGCTAACATTTTGTAAAATGAATAACCATAAACATTTGTTTTAGAATCGAAGCAGAAATGGGCTGCAGAAGATTGGAGAGGAAATGAAATCACAAAATACTCATTAAGGTTGTATTATGAATCTGGTTTGCACCCCAAAAAGTGAGGGAACACTGACTTTGCTCACCTTCTTAACTAGCCCTGGTGTTAAGAGAAAATGTCAGGCTGGATTTCCAGCCTTGGTGTGGAATTTCCTTGCTTTTTGTGGGTTTAAACCCTCTCTGATTTTTTTATTTTTTTTTTAAGCATACTTTCCATGGCGTAATTTTTAAAGCGGGGTAGTAGCTTTGCTTAGTCCCCTGAGGTTATTGTCCTTGGTAATCTTTACTTTACAGTTACATAAACAGCTGAGAATTATAGAAGCTGAGCGACTGTTCAATAAAAAAAAAAAAAAAAAAAAAAAAAGAAATGCCCTCTTAAATTTTGCAGGCTCAAAGGCAGGAAACAAGGACTTGATATTCTCCTGGCATTTATACAGAACTTTAGCCATCACTGTGTGTTGTTTCCGTTTATGGCAGTTTGTAGGATGTCCCAACACTGGAAACATGCACACATAATTTTGATTGTATATTCATTGCAGAATGGAGAAATGTATGGCAAGAGGACAAGATTTCAAGTTGTTGATATGATTTTTCCTCTCTAATAACGATGTATTAAATGTGTCAAATTGTTTAGAAATTACAGAATTAACAGAAAATTATGGAAAGTAACAGAAATTACAGAAATTAACATATGTTCTCTTTCAGCTACTTTAGTCAAGGCTTAGATGTGTTCATTTATTGCATCCTTGATCTATATTTTTTCTTTGGTCAGACACACCAAACCCTTTTCCCATCCCTATATATCCACTGACACCTCTCTCTTCTGTGACACTCCCTAAATGTCTTCCTAGTTTCTCACTTTCCAACCCACACATTGCCAATCCAGACTAAGCCATCCTAGTATCTGGGGATTATTTCATAAAGTGTATTTGAGATATTCTAGGAGGAAAGAGGTGATGGATGCTACGAACACAATAAATCTCCAGCAAGAAAAGAACTATTCAGATAAAGGACATTTGAAAAATCTGGGTATGAATTGGATATGAATAAATTTAGTTTTCAAATCAGTAGTCAGCGAGGCAGCCTAGTAGGTTTGAAGAGGAACTTTTGATAACATTTTATATGCTCTCAGATAGTGTGCTTGCCTGACATCACAAGGAACTGGAGCAAATAGACTGTCTCCCCCAGGACTGTGTTCACACAAGTTTACATGGGAATATTTAGTCAATCTTACCAGTGAAAACAGTGAGGTTTGTTTTTCAAGGATCTCTTGCATTTAAAGTATGCATTTCTATCTCTGAACCAAATTAGCCAGCTGATATCTCCTATCACACAGGCTGCAGCATGGAACCAAGTCTTGCACTTTCCCACCACTGCTTATACAGGCATGAAAAATTCTGACCCTTGTAGGAGCAAAACATGTCCATATAAGCAAGTCTCATTTCTCACTTAATTTACCCTCCCACTCTCATTCGCATTAGCTTCATTGCTAAGAATAGTAGTAAATAATTTCACAGTGATAAATTCCATGTGTGACAAACACTAATGTCACCTAACACAGTGCTAGGAAGTACTCAGAAACTATGGTGACAGTGGCATAATAATGTGAACAGAATGGAATACAAACTCCATTTACTTTTTTTTTTTTTTTTTTTGTTCCTTAAGTCTGTAGATCTAAATCTGAGAGTCTGGAAAATAATTTTAAGTTGCTTTTCTCTTTTCTCATTGCAATCTAACAAGTCATTTCTCTACTTTTTTAATATCCCTCATTTTTTTTTCTCTTGGAAGAAACTTAGAATTTCTGGAAGCAGAAAATTTCACTTCTTTCTTACTGTTATTACTTGATGTTTATCCTGCCACTAACCTGTAATGGTTACAACACAGGTATATTTGATCAGAAGATACTAAGCTAGTTAAACCTGGTGACTCATTCTGTCTGATAGCTGATACATTTTTCTTTATACAAAGAGAAACCTTTGAGTTGGAAACCAGAGGCCAAGTAGCAGTTACAGAATTGGCAGTTGCTCTATAGTTCTTCTGGATGTGAGTAAAATCATGAAGGTTATGATTTTTACCCACCACTTCATGGGTGGGTAAAAACGACAAAAAAAATGATTGGATCCCAACAAATTACCTAAATAAATTATTTTAATTCCTTCTAACAAATAGACCTTTTTTATTTCTTTCTCCGTTCTTTCTTTCTCTATCTCTTTTTTTTTTTTTCCTTCCTTCTTGTCTTTCTTTTGTTATGGTCATGTCTGGATCATTTTCGTCATTAAATTTAAGTGCTCTGGATAAGATTGTGTTGTACTTAGGTATGAAAAATTGGCAGACATATAGAAAAGATTGTTTTTAAGGCTAGAGTGGAAAAAGAAGATAGGAAAAAACAATAATAAAATAAAAATAAAAATAAAAAATAAACAAAAATAGAAAGCAGAAGAGGATGTTCCTCTGTACTGACCATAAATTTTGAGAACTTTCTGACATTCCAGAGAATGTGACCTGGGGCAAAGAGACTTGCATCAATAAGCATACTAGTCTAAGTTACAGTCACAATATGCTTGGGGAAGTTAGGACACACATTAATTAGTCCAGTAACACCTGATATAGGATATGTATATATTACATGGTTGACTGTGGTCTCATTTATGGGTTTTAGCTTGGTCAGCCTTATTATCCACAGCAAAAAAAAAAAAAAAAAAAAAAAGTAGCTGGGAGTGTAGATTAGAAACCATGCTTTGTTGTAACTCGGACTGTGACTCACCCTTTTTACAGAGCATATACGATCAAAATAATGAGCGAGCTCAGAGTTCAGTGCTTTGTGTATGGTTTCCAGAGGAGACCAGATAAGCTTTTCTGCTGTACATAGTACAGGTTTAGGAAAGAAGCTTATAGCTCTCAAACAAGCACTCTGGGATATGACCCCAGTCTCAAAAAGATCACTGCACAGTTTCTTTCTAAACAGACTAGGAAATGATTGCCAGCTTTGGGGTCTGTGCTTACTCACGTACATTGAATTGATATATTCGTGATGTGTCTTAGACTGGATTTTATTTCTATTTATTTCTATTTCTATTATTTTCTATTTCTATTTTATTATTATTTTTTTTTATCTTTATGTTAGTAGTGAATCAGGTCAACAACCCAGTAACTCCTGATGATCCTCATGTAAGGGTGAGACCTGGGAGTATAGCTCTTTCCTTCACCCATGCTCTGACTTTTCTGAGGATGAAATTGGACAAATGAGACAGAATAAGCTCTGGCAAATCCTAGATGTGGTTAAATCAGTACACCTAGTATACCTAGTATACCAAGCAAATTGTGTGTCTTGCTTGGGTCGTCAGAATCAAGTTTTAATGAGCCAGGTGAGTTGCTTGTTATATACACAGAAGGACAAACTTCATCGTCCACCTCCAGCTATAGATGTGTAAAGACAGGAGTTACCATCTCATCCTACATGTCTCCCACTATGTACTCTCTTGTTTATTTATTTATTTATTTATTTTACAAGGAAGGGTTGATTATTTGTACGCATTAGTTTCAAAGAATAACTTGTACAGTTGTCAATGGACAACTTTGTAAATAAATGGTCTGTTTATGTAAGGAAGGTGACAAACTAAATAACTGATGCAGTAGTAGCTGCATCAATAATTTCTGCTAGAAAGCTTTCTGTACTACTTTTAGTGAATATATGATTAAAAGAATTATATCTGTCTAAACATATGAGTATAAATATAAACACTACTTACATTCATCAGTTCATAGTTAGGAATTATTCAATAGTTATTGAAAATTCTTGCCCTGGAGATGAATTTCAAGAGGAAGAAAAAAGATAATTTGTCTCTGTGAGGGCTCATCATTGCTCTGATGCTTGGAAAACAGTGACTTTTAGGTACCAAATACTGCCTTCTTTCCTGTTAACTAAAGTAACTAGCCTGTATTGAAAGAAAGAAAGAAAGAAAAGAAAGAAAAGAAAGAAAGAAAGAAAGAAAGAAAGAAAGAAAGAAAGAAAGAAAGAAAGAAAGAAAGAAAGAAAGAAAGAAAGAAAGAAAGAAAGAAAGAAAGAAAGAAAGAAAGAAAAAATAAGCAGAGATCTGGTTGTAGGGAATCACACAACAGAATATTAATTGATTTAAACAAAGTGGGAAAGAGTCTGTTACAGCCCCCTTCATTGAGATATGACATACATCTGATTTTTTCTTTTTTTTTTTTTTTGAGGGGGGGTATGTTCTTGTGCTTTTTTATTTCCTTCAGCTCTAGCCATCATTTTAATGAGTGTTGACCTTGTCAATACCAATTTCCTCTTCCCAGGCCACCACGTTCAGAGTTTGGTGGGCATTCAATAGAGATTTACTGTTGACTGGGTAATTTGAGTTCATGTGTGTGGTGAAAAATTAGTGAGGAGAATTACCCAGAAAAGTGGATGCCATGACAATGCATGTCACCATGGTGTGACCAGCTCTGCTGACATAGGTTTAAAAAGCTCTCCCCCTGTGAAAATGGGGCCTGTTTGCAAATTAATTAGTTTCTGGCAGCAGCTTGATTGTTGACCCAAAGTTTGTAGAGTGGAAAAACAATCAGATTAGTGTGTTCAATATAAAGGCCCAGTGCAGCACTCAAATGCAGTTTGCCAAACTGTTGAAGCCGTGAATAGAGTGAAACAAATTCTTTTTTGAGAAGCCAAGGCAAAGGTTAAGTGTGATGTGACTAGAGCATGCTGGCTGAGAGGGAGGGGAGAAGGGGTGGGTAGAATTAGAGGTTTCAGCCATACAAAAATGAAGAGTGTTAAGCAAGTTGCATTGAATTTAATGAAATTCACAGCTTCAGACGCAGTGTTTGGCAATGTTTTAGTCTGTGGTAAAAGGAGAAATAAGATGGCTTTGTTTTGAGAAGTTTCCTTTATACAGTCTTGTCGGACTTCGGAGATTGAGACTCTAAAGACTATTAGAGACACTTCCTGAGCCTCCATGCTGTTTCTAAGCACCTGCAGACTTTGAGGTTTGTACCAGTTCCTCCCCCTCCCTGCCACACACAAACTCTCTTTATCTCTAATGATTCAACTCAAGGCTTCCATTCATCACCTCCTGTGTTTGGGCAGGTTTCTTTTAACTAGTGCTGGTGCTGCAACTCATGGGCAAGTGTATTAGAAATCAACTCTTGTGAATAGGTAGACTAATTAAAACTTGTTATTCCAGTACGGAGACAAAAGTTAGACACACAAAAAAAATACTACAGGTCAGATCTTTAGCTGATTATAAGTTAGAATATCTTCACTGCAGCCAACATACATCTACTGATTCCTACTCACTGCAGTTCTTGTCTCATGTCACTAATAATATGTTGTCTTTCTTCAATGTCTGCTTTTGTATAAATCTGCTTTTCAACATCCATTTATGGCATTTGCTGTTATTTATACCCTTACAATATTTCCTGTACATCGTTGCAAAACTATATGTTTTTATTATTATTTTCCGTGTATGTCAAATAGAAAGATGGAAATGCAAAATGGAAACAAATATGGAGAAGACTGTACTCATGGACTACTCACATAGTTTTTTCTTCATCCAATATCTTGGCTGTGCTGGCCTGGATCAGGATACTTGATAGAACTTGGCCAATGGGAGGACAGAGCAGATGAGCTGAAAAGCACCAACCAACCCATCAAGTAGATGAGATGCTCAGTACACTTAGCAGAGCAAATAATGTGAGGATACAGCATCTTAGCCGGTTCCAACCTCTTTCACCCATTCCATAATATTACAACTGTTAGTTTGCAATTTATGTAGACTTTGTGATTTGTTCTTGGTAATGGGCTGAACCTAACTCCCTTTACACTAACATTCCTGAACCGTGAATTGCTTGTCCCAAAAGGTACTCAGTGTTGCTTGCAATTAACACAACTGATTGCTCAAAGCCAGCACCTGATGTGGCATGTAGCCAGCTGGAAACATAATTGGCTCTTTAGATGGGCAAACATCCACTTCAGAGTAGAGTTTCTGATGAAGGAATTATTAGTTCAAAGTAAGCCAGGTATTTGAATACCTGGTCTATACATTAAACCCTCAGCTAACATTAGACACAGCTGAATTATGTTGCAGACTCAAAGCCTCCCTTTCTCTCTGTCTCCACAACTTCCCCTCCTCTTTGTTCATGAAATCGTGTAAATTCCAGTCTGAATGCTTGTAAGGCTAAGTAATTGCTTTTGTTCTTCGGGTTATTTAATTACAAATCTCAGTAGATGACAGGTTCTCTGCACTAAAGGAAGACATCACATTTGCACAGTTACAGAATCCCAACACAAATGTGTGTGGCAAATCAGTGACTGCAGATTTATTCATGTCCTCTGGGACCTGCACTGCCTTTTCAGCTTAGCATGCAATATGATTTAAATTACAGCTTGTGCAGAGCTGTGCCTTGGGATTACACTCCATGTTTCCAACTGTTTATAGTTCAGTGAGCTTTAACCTCTGTGATTCTGAAAATTAAATAATGTCACGGCTGATATCAAACTGATGGCTGGTACTAGATGGTAAGTACTGTCTTGTATTAAAGGCCTATTTTTACAACAAAGTGGAAACATCAATGTATACAAAAATGATAACACATTCAGGTAATTCATGAGAATATGCATTCAGGAGTCACACTAGCAAAGAATGGCAAAAACAATGTTAAGGTCCATTCTCAAGGATATATTTCTACTTATTCTGTGTTTAACAGAGTTATGGCTATTGACTATTAGAGTAGGACTGGATCTAAAACATTACTTTGTGATTAGGCAGACAGAGAATGCAAGATCAAGAAATGTAGCTAGAGGATCTGTTGTAATTAAATTTACATTTGTAAATGCATTGCAGACTTTACAGTTTCATTATTTATGAAACACTATGATATATCAAATCTTATATCTTGAAGACCTGTTTCTGCTGTACCTGTAAAACATCCTTATATTTCTATAACCTTTCAATAGAAGAACAAAACCACCTAGTTACAAAGTGTATATTTAAATTTAACATGTATTTTCTCAAAAGATGTTATAATCTTTTTATTAATTTATTTATGTACTTCCCTCCCTCCCCCAACACTTTAATTGATAAAAAAGATTTTAGTGATTTTTTTTCTTTATTTATTTCTGCAAACCTGGTGTGTCCTGGATAGTCCTCCAGCCACTTCACTGGGTTCCTCCTCAGGTTCCACCAGGCAATACCTGTAAAACAAAAGGGAAAAAACAGATGTCACTATGAGTATAACCTAGTCCTTAGAGCCTTATTTAGGACAATGGTGTAAGGAAGAGAGAAAATTAAGGGAGAAGGACAAAAGGGAGAGACAAATGGATACCTGTTTTTCATTTGTAAAGGTAACATGTTTGACCAAATAACAAATAAAATAAACAAAGTAACCCCAAGTACCTTACTTACAGAATCAGAGTTCTCAGATATGATGAACAGATCACCAAAAAAAAAAAGCTTGACAAATGGATCCTCATTTGATGCCTTTAAGTATTTTTTTTTTTTGTCAGAGCACTACATCCTGCATACCCCATTTTGCTGTAGTGCCAAAGTGCATTTTTCCTAATGATCTGTAGAGAGTAATAAATTACTTACTTTAGGTGTTAATGCCTAGCTTTTAGGTTTCAAAGTGGTGTCAAAAGTATCACATCCCTTGCTCTTCCGTTGGATTCCATTGCCTTATATTGAAGTATCCTTGTTGGATAAATGTTAGATTTGTTTTTCTAATGATCATGTAAGACAGGTGGTTTTACATACTACACAGTAAAAAAGGGAAGAAAAGAAAAAACTTTTATGGTAATGTTTAAAAACCATCAAGGTTCACATGTATTCACATGTATCCAATAGAAGCAATGTATTCACTTAGAAGCAATGAATACCTCATACAATGTGGTAATGAACAGATAAAAGACTACACTATTGAAATATGATAACAATGGTTTTAAGAATCTCAAAAATTATCTGGAAATTTCAGTATCCTAAAGCTTTCTGAGAGTAAGCCACCAAAACTGAACTGCAAGCTAATATACCTTTCTGAGCTCTTTTTTTCTCAATTGTATGATCCATATAACTGGTGGCTACGGACAGAATGTTTCACATGTTAAGGAGGTGAGATGTTCTGTAGTGTTCTCAGAGAAAATTACCCATTTTTAAAGTAAATGTAAAATTCCAAATATTTGGGACCAACAATTCCTGTATGGCATTCAACAGAATCTGATGTTCCTGGTCTCTTTAGGGCTTCCACAAGCATACTAAGTAAATGAAGGAAAAAATAGTTCCCTTTCTGATTTACCTTTTAAAGAGATAGGCTGCCCTGTATTTTTATCACATTCATAGCTTATAGAAAATATTATTCTTAACATAATTTTTTTATGTATAAATTTAATTTCCTGTTGGTAAGTTTGCAAAGTTTTCTGTTCAGAGAAGTGCATCACATTTTATAGGAAGATTTTATTAGATGAGTTGGTTAGATGAACTAGACAATTAGATTAGATGAACTAGACAACCTTTCAGGGACCAAGCTCTTTTTCAGGTCAGTATTAATGAAAACAGAAGAAAAGTTATTTTAAAGACTGGATTATATATTTCGTCCATTCATTCCACACATGAAATATTTGCAAACCTCCAGTGCTAACACATTAACTGTGAATATTGTCATACATGTATATCTGACGATTGGTGTTTATTGATTCTTTTACTGCTATTTGAGAAAATACAAGTTCTCTGATAAACAGTAAAAATGTTCCACTAAATGTTTCTGGATTAAACTAGGTCCTCTATGGACATAAAACATTTGTGCAGAGGGAAGTGCTCTTGCATAGAAGAATTGTAGATACAATTCAGACTTCTCAAACGCTGAAACTTCAAAGTAAGTAGGAAATGCTGGGCATTAGATTTCCTAAGGATCTTTGCTAGAGCTAACACAAGTTGCCAAAAAGCCAATAATAATAATAATAAATAAATAAATAGATAACAACAACAACAAAAAAAATGCTTTGTAAAGCTTTTTTAAACTGTCAGTTTAAACTTTTTTTTTTTTTTTTAATTGTCAGTTCCTTGCAAGCAGGAAGGAAGCATAAAGACATGAGAATAAGATCTTAAGTTTTGTGGTGTATACAATAGAAAATATTAAGTTTTTAAAGAATGGGAATTTGAACAGCAGACAAAGTTTTGCAGAAGTCAAGTAAATGTCTCTTTTATTCATTTTATGCACTGACATAAGATGTACAGAAGTACAAAGAAACAAATAATGATATCATTTTATCAATACATAATGAAGGAAACCAAGGGAACTGCCTTCTGTCAAAATCATGAATCTTGATTTCTAATGTACTTTCTGTGACTTGTACAATAAGATAGAAGAAATGTACAGAAACATCTGATAGACAAGCTCTAAAACTAGCATGGAACTATGCAAGCAAGTTTTAAAACCAATGACTTATAGTATTCAATACAAACATGTAAATGTACATAAAGAAAGCCATGTTTTCACCTTAGAAAAAAAATAGATATACCAAATATGACTGAAAAAAAAATAGAAGGTCTATCACCTGCCTTGTTCAGAATCACCAGTATGCTTTAAGTGATTCCTTGATATTGAACTGGCAGTGATTTTTGGGCAGTGATTTCTTGATATTGCAGTGGCAGGCCCAATAAATAAAACTGCCACTATTGGATCTGATAATTCCCAAACCAGACACACACACACACACACACACACACAAAAAAAAAAAAAAAAAAAAAAACAAAAAAAAAACAGTTATTCCTTGTATTTTATATTTCCTGATCTCTATGATAGTATATCACTGTGAACACTGTCAGTCAGAGAGCACAGCTCTATTCAGTCACCCATCTCTCCACTCTCTGTTTCCTTCCATTTTTCTGAAGGAGCTTCCATGAGAGACAGAAAAAGCTTCATAGGAGGGAAAGGTACAAAACATTCATATGAGATATTTTACATGGATTAGTGAGTCATAAGTTTTTTCCCCAACATAAGCTTTTTCCCTAACTGTACAAATGGGTTTTCATTATTATTATTCAGTTCTGCTCCATATTTGACATATTTTTCAGCTTTACTTTTTGTAGTTGTTGTTGTTTCCCAGACTTCTGCTGGTAGAAACCATTCCTTACATTACAATTCACATTTATTTATTATGATTTAAAACATATATATATTTTCAGACTGCATTTCAGAAATATTTGGTATAATTACTGTGATTTTTAAGAAGAAAAAATTTCTTGGTGTAGCATTGTATCAGCTTCAACATTTTATTTATTTTTTTTTAATGTAGTGATGGAAGAATTTGTAGCACACATGAATAATAATAACAATAAAAAGCAGGAGTTGTTTTTACAAAATAAAAGTACATACCAATTAAATAGAGTTTGAAGAGAACAAATTTCTCACAACGTTGTGCAAGAGGTAAAACTTTTCAAAACTTTGCTATCTCAAACAACTCCAAGGTTTTCATCACACCTGTGCTATGAAATATTTTCTATTTTTTTGTCTGGTTTATTTGCTTCTGTTTTTAATTCTTTTCATGAGCAGAACTAAGTTTCACATCATCAGTAAATTAGTAAATTATTTCAGTTGGGTACTAATGTTGTTAATTCCTTAAAATGACTGACACTAAATTAATTTGGAATCACTTATTTTGCTCACATGAGTACTGAAAGAGGTTGTCATAACTGATGTTATCATGTTGAATACCTAAGTTTGTGCTGAGGGGTTTTGTTTCCGCTTGCAGACACTTTACGGCATTTTATGTTGCTGTGCTACACTGACAGATCACTTAAAAACAGTCATTCACCCAGTCTTTCTTTTAATCTTTGCTGCCATCCTTCATTAATCTTATGTTAATGGATTTTGTGTCAAGTTACTTTATATACTAGCTGTAAAAGTTAATTATAACAACAAAACCTTTTTCATACTTTGACAAAATGACCTTAGTTTTGTGGCCTAATCTAAAGGATTTAACAAAGAAATCAAATTGCAGGAGATTGGATAAGGTAGGAAGTGGCTACATGACCATGCTCTGCTGGATCTCTGCTTGGGAACTGGCTGAGGCTGAGGATCATTTCCTGATGACTGATCATCCCTCACTGAAAAAGGAGTTGATGGCAAAGTCCTGTACAGTTTTTGACATGATGTCTGGGAGGAGATTGCTTTTACAGCTACATGACCCCTTCCACACACTTCAAATTGAACCTGGCAGTACAAAATTTGGTTGGTTTTGTCCTATTTTGAAAATAGATTATTTCTGACACAAAGGCCATATTTATTCACAATGGGGGCAGGAAAAAAAAAAAAAAAAGAATAATATATGTGTGGATGAATGGTCCTGATGGAGACAAGGTTGAGCACTGCATGGAACTGACAGAGATATTTTAAGAGTTTAAATCTCAGGAGACATATGGAGGCTGAAGACATACTTGTCAAGCAACTGTTGTTCAGGTTGGGGGTTCAAGCTTTTGCCAATTGTGCTGCTGATGGCTGTCCCATTTTCCCTTCAGTGAAATATGTTCACCTTGTTAATCCCCAGCCATTCCTCACATCACACCAGGGACTTGTCTCCTGCAGTATGCTGTGCCAGCAGTTGGGCTGAAGGTACTGCTGAAGCATGTTCTTTCTGCCTTTGGGACACTTTCTTGTAACCTCTAATTTCCAAGCTATGAAGATCATTCCGTCAAGACTTAATCACATATCTCCCAGTATACAGGAAGACCTGGGAAAATCACGAGTGGAGAGGAGCAGATTTGAGTTTTGGGTCATTTAAGATAAACTGCTTGGGCATCTCCAAGGACTTGTGCTCTATCTGCAGAGGTCCTCCTCAGAGTTTACAAGAGACAGGCCCATAACATGGCTCTGATTGCCAAAACTGTGTGGGAATCAGAGGCACCTTCTGCCTTCATTGTTTCCATGCTCCACTTTCTCCTGTAATATAGCACTTTTTAACACAAAGACTGCAATCTTTAGTTTTTGTCACTAAGCCAGAGCTCTGAAGATGGAGGTAACACAGTTAAGGCACAAGATTTCCACTGTTTTAATTTCCAAGCATTAACGTCAAGAAACTTCAGATAAATGATCGACAGGAAAGAAACAGGCTCTTAGCTGTAACTCTCATCAGCTCTTTCTGCAGAGAGGTTAGGAAATACAGAAAAGCAAGATAAAAGTATTCCTACATGGAGATAAAATGCTGCTGGCCTTCCTTTCTGATCTGTGAAGGACAGTCGTTTTCTCAGTTGCCCAATTATTTTCTTTAAGGGACAACTATGTCAGTTTAAAATTAACCGTGTTGATAGATATACAACACCTCAAAACATAGTCAGCAATGGGAAAGAGGTGTTAATTTTGGTTGCTGTTCTGTAAAGAGATAATAATCACCTCTTAAATTAAGTACGGTGGGTAGGTCATAAACATTGTTTTGTGAGAAATCTAATTTATGTTGAGAATTAAGCTATAATGTTACTGAACTTTTGCATTCCCTTTTCTTCACCGTATAATTAGCCATTCCAAGGGAAAAAAAAAAAAAAAAAAAAGTTGTTGTCTTTTTAGAATAAAGATTTCAGAAACTGATAATTGCATCAGAGATCAACATTTTCTTCTTTCTCCTTCCTGTGTAAACTAGTGTTCCTCACAAGAAATATCCATACTGAATTATGTCTCTGTAGCAGAAGGGGTATCAGGGTAGTGGCAGTGCCTGGAGATATAAGCCTTGGCTGGTACTCAGGGGCTCGTTTACACAACTTAGAGGTGCTAAATACCGTAAATTAAAGTTATGCTCTCCTTGAAGTCACTTGACACCATAGTGGCTGTGACACTCGCAGCCAAAGCACAGAGAAGCCTCAAGGACTAGATTCCCGGTGCCGTGTACAAAACAGTATCTCCAAGATGTGGAGGGATTTACATGAATAAAAGCGTAGTGTATCTTTTTATTTGCTATTCTGAAGAGTTCGTGCATTGAAATGATGGAAGAATTATATGTTAATATTATTTTAATACCTTTTATCCGTAACAATACGTAATTTTTTTTTCTGTCAGAATAAAATTCACACGGATTTCCACTGAAACAGAACAGTCAAACTGTGCAAAGGAGATTTCTCTTTCAATTCTGCAAAGGGTTATGAATCAATAATAACAATAATAACAATAACAATAACAATAATAATAATAATAATAATAAAGACTATTAAGGCAATTATAATTGCAAGAAACCTTAGCTAAACTTTTCATTTATTAGCCCATTTGATAATCTATGTCAGCAAAATTAGTTCCACTAGTCTCTCTCTATATATACATATATATACATATATATATATACATATACATATAGAGATGCATATACATCTCTATGTATACATAGCTAACAGTGTCATATCATAGCTAACAGTATAAGAAAATCATGGTTGCTCAGAATCAGTCTGGCTTGACTGAAAGACGAAAGCACCACTTTGTAAATGTAGACAAACTTTAAAACTCTTTCTGTTGAGAATTTCCATTGCAATATCAATGAATCACCACAGTCCTTCTTACATTGTGATAGCTGCTAAGATCTCAGCCATGGTTGGTCTGCGTGCCAATCCGATGCCAGTAGTGTTGTTGAAGAGCTTCATTCTAAACAGTGACTCTATGAGACCTCTGTTGTGTTTGCCCAAGTCATTTCTTGCAAAAGATACATGAAAGTGGAAGAATTAAAATGAGAAGACTTTAGAATAAGACTATTAAAAGCTTTGGTGTTTTGTAAACTACAGTTGAGTGACTAAAACTGCAAAACAACTTAGTTTTCTCATCAACATATATTAAAAGCTTTGTCCTCTGGTGACCTTAACAAATGGCTCTGCTAAGCATATTTATGACTGATGCTATAAGTCCTCCTCTCTCTGAGTAGTGGAGCTTGCTGTGATTTCAAGATCAGATTTTCTGAGGACAGTACTTGCTTCTCTGACTTTCCTAGGTCTCAGAGGAGAGGCACCGTACATATTTATGAAGTACCGCATAGCTGTCTATGTCTGTTTTTGCTAAATTTTTAATTTCAAATTCCCTAGTTCTGTTCTTCTCCTCAGGGCCTTAGTCACCCTCCAGTAATTTTCATTACATTACAGCAATTTTAGTTTTACTGAGCATAAAATTTCCCTTGTTTCTTGCTGTGAACTAGTAAATTAGTCATTTTGACCACAACTATACAATAATAGGGGCATCCAGTTCAAACTCTTTACAAAACATTTCCTGAGAGGATTGCCCTTTTGCTCCTGTCGAATGATCAAGAGATGACCCTAGCTTCTGTTCCATCAGCTAGCTCAATTTTGACAGCTAAAAGTAATTTTTGTGCTTCAAGTTTATATATCTTAATTTAAATAATAGATTTCTGTTAGAAATCCAATTTCTGTTTTTTATTGTTTCTTGATATTTTTGACTGTGTGTGTGCATGCATGGTTCTTGCCACTAAAGAGTAACGTTTGTAAAAGAATAAATGCAGATCGATTTTTCTTGGCTTTTTCTGAAGTCAAAGTGCTGAGACAAGCAAAACATGTTTCCATTACTTAACTAAGCAAACAATGGCATATAAATCATAGAGGCAGCTGGACCAAGGTGTCGTTTTCATAAAGAGCCAGATTTCTCATGAAGGACAGTTTAATGGGCTGCTGCCAGTGAAATGTCTGCAAAAGTGGTAATTGCAGAAGGACACAGAAAAAGTGGCGCTAGAAAGGTGTCATGTAGGAGCTGAGAAATAGCCCTGCAGTCAGGACAATTGGAAAAAGGAGACTGAAAAAGGTGTGTGCTTTAATAATTTGCTTCTTGATGCTGATTGCTTTAAATCAAAATCTAAGTTTTTATTTTTAGCTTGTTCACATTGGCTGCAAGATCAGAGAAGTGTTTTTAGCTATAATTTTATTTTGCTCATGTTTATACTGTGGCTTTGTTTCTCCTTTGATCATGCTTAAACATGTTTCAAACATGTTTGTTTGATGTATGCTATTTTTTAAAGGACTCTTCCACATTGTATGGTTATGTGTTGTTTTAAAGCAATGAATCATTGCAAATTATTTGCTGTCAAATTATTTCTTAAATCCAGTTTCAGAAAACATGCTTTCTGGATGTCTAGCCAATAGAAGAATCATTTTAAGCTAGAACATGTTGAATTATTGCAGTGGCTTTTCTGAGTGCTTCACTGATTGAAGACAGTTCTAGGGTCTCAGAATACCCTATAATTCACATACAGAAGTTTGAAGTCATCTTATCTATCCACAACACCTGCAGCGCACCAACATTTACAATTGTCACCAGTGGTTTTGGATCAAAGTTCCACTTTCCATTCAATAAAACTTGCTTGAAGTTCATTCCAGCACTTCTTATGTGGCTGTGTTAAATATGTGAAATAGGTCAACCCTGACTGAATTATTTTAAACTTCCCATGGGGAGCCTCGATACTGAACCTGTTTAATTTTGCAGGGTAAGGCCAAGCAGTCTCAATACTTGAACATACACATTCATGGATAACGTTCTTTCTTCTGCTGCATGGGTGAGCAATTAGGAGAGTCAAGGACAAGACCCTCATCTGTGGACAATATCTCCCCTCCCTTCCTCAAAGAGCAATACAAACATGCTACACAGTCCATGGAGAGTGCTATGTTGCATGACTGCTGGCCATCTGGCTGATTGATTCATCATGGCCCTAAACAGTTAGTTGTAAGCACAGTCTGAAAATCCAGAGCATTATGCCAGCGTGCATCAAACTTCAGATCAAATAGCACCTCAGTTAATGAAACAATAAAGAACACACTACAGATGACTAGTTTATACCATCCCACACTTCATAGGCTGTATAGCCTACTGAATTATCAAACACATTTCTCTTCTTCTCTCTGAACATGCGCACACAACCATAATATAAAATTGCTTGTATGATCATTATATTTTTTCTGAACAGAAATTAATTGTGTCTATATGCAACCGAACACGTATAGCCTTTTTTTTTTTTTTTCTTCATTTGTTTCATTACATAGACACACAAAATGTTATATGGAAGAGGGGGAAAAAGTAACAGCAACGAGGGATGTATAACATGAAGGACCACTCTTTTATTGACTAAAACATGTTGACTTAACCAGGTGGCAAAATAAACTGAGGTTTGCTCAGTAAGAAACACAAGTGTTATTCAGCAGAAGCTGTTCCATGATGTACAACAGATATGTTCTAATACAAGGCTGTATGAGCATTCTATTTTGGGGGATGTAATTAGGATTACTAATCACTAATTGGAATTCTGAATTCTTCCCAGATGAGCACTGCTAAGAAATATGTAAAAAGCATATTCACATGCTCTAGCTATAGCCTTAGTTATATTCGACTTATTCAGGCCCCTCTCATCTGCTACCACTCTGTTAGTTATCTGAAATACATATTTTTAATCTCCAACTATTTTGTGTAATTCTTTTATCAGTTCTGCTCAAATACTAGGCTTTTGTACTGTTCTAGGTTCACTTGCAAAATTAAGGGACGGAAAGAAAAGAATAATAATATGCTAACCTGGGGCACGTTTATATAACCTTTACTATATCAGCAATATTACTGACTTGAATGGGTCTCCCCATGGGCTCATCACAAGCCAGTGTAAAGTTAGAATTTTGATGTCTGACAATATAGTGATTTATGTTAGAATTTGATATCTTGTGATTAACAAAACCCATTGTACTGAAGACAAATCATTCAGCCATTTGGGAATGTATTTAGATTTTGGTTGAATGTTTTTTTTTTACCCCTTTCATTAAGACCTTAAGATTGTATAAACAACCTTATGTGTTCAGACCAGTTCTTCAGATCAAGTAGCCCAGACCAGTGTCTGGGTGTCTGTTTTCTCTGATGAATCCTTCCTCAGGTTGCCATTTGGTGATAGATCATATAAAAATAACATTAACTTTGTGATAATATGATCTAGATATTATTTATCTAGGGCCTCGTGTCAATGTAACTTTAAGGCTAGCTTGAGTTCCTGTTTTAGAGATGGAGAGCTTAAGCTGTTTAAAGATTTCTAATGTTTTTGTTTGTCTAAAAAGATTTATTTTAATAGAGAATAGGTAATAGACACAGTTCCACTGAGATCTTTTCTGTGGTCTTTGTTGTTCAACATGTTCCTAAAAAAAAATGAAAAATGGGTTGAGCAGCTAGATGAGAAAGTTTTCATACAATACTGCATTATTCAACACAGTGAGACAAAGAAATACTGTGATGAATTACAAAAGGATCTTATGCAACTGGGTAGCTAAGCAATCAAATGACAAATTAAATTATTCCTGATGAATGATATAGTGAAACAACATGGGGAAAGACACGAGGAAAATAGGCCTATCTTCACATATAAAATGATGGACTGTGGATTGAGCATTACCAATCAAGGGTGAGATTCTGGGGTTATGGCACATAAAGTTCTACTAAATTTTAGCTTTCTGCTTAGAAACAGTCAAGTCTGCATTAAATGTTAGGATTTAATAGAAAAGAACAGGTAATTCAACAGAGAACATTGTATAAGAACATTTCTATAAGAGCACAATTCACCCACAACTGCAGGAATTTCAAATGTAGGAAAATGAAGTAAGTAAGAATCATCTTCAAACCACAAAATCAGAATTAGTTTTTAGTTTATTAGATTATATACTTAGTAACAAATTGAAAAAGGACACTGTGAATTAATTCTGAAGAGATACCTGGATGGAAAATTTTTAAGAGTTAATAAACACATTAGACAACCAGCCAAGCAGGGAATCAGATATGCTGAAAATAGCTGGAGGCAGGGAAATTACTCTGTGAAAGTATTATTTGGCCTTTGAAAGTATTATTTGGACCTACCATATTCTTAATTTGTCCCAGATAATTTCTTTAGGTTGATGCTGGAGTCTGTATATTGATCTAAGTAAACCTTGGTGTAAGTCAGTATGGCCATTTCTATATAATATATAAAAACATAAGCATAAAAATACAATGCAGTGTGTGTTCATGTAATAGCATATAATAATATATGCTATATATATATAATATAAGCATATACATGCATATATATAAATATATCAAAAAGGTTGCTTACAAACACTGTTGTTCTTAATAAGGCAATGGGTTTCACAGGACAGCTAGTGCAAACTGGCAAAACAAATTACAATTCATCATTTCCATGACTATATGGCAATAAACATACACTGAAAAGATGTTAATACATGACACTGAAATAGCTTATAATTTCACATAGGAAAAGGACTCTTTGAGCAGTTAAATATAGTTCACAGTTAATTATCCCAGCAGGATGCAAAATGGCTATAAAACAGATTGGTAAATCTGTTGGATATGCCTTCTTTTTCCAAATATAGTGAAAGATACCAGCTGAAGTATCTCTGTAAAATAGTGATGAGACAGATTCACCACTGACATAAATTTACATTTATGATTTTACAAACTTTTATCCCAAAACTTCTTACTGCCATGATGTGTTGTTTTTTTATTTTTTTTAATAGCTAATAAGTGTGTTTGTACCTTAAACATTTTCATTTGTTGCCTTATCTTCATCAGCAAATAACACCATGAATCTAATTGTCAAGAAAAAAAAAGTTTTCCAAAAAAAAAACTTAAAAAAAATAACAATACAAAATAACAATACAATATTTTAACAACTCGAGTAAATGAGTAGATACTTTTTTTTTTTTTTTTACAATAGGACACTAATACTTTTATTGCTATAAAATGCTTTCTTTATATATTCTTCTTTATTATGACTGTCTCAATATTTATCTTATTTTATGAAAGACTTCAAGAAATATTATTGATTAAAAGTCAAAGCATCCAAACAAAAAACAAAAATGTCAATAATATCTACATTGAATTAGGAAGCCATTTCCATTCATGTATGAGATTTAAATATGAATATTTAGTTGCTCCAGTGATAAAGTCAAGGTCAGTTCATTAAATATCTATAGTAAACATTTATATGTATTAGAGATAAAAAGAATATAAATGTCACATTATAGGTAATGACATACCTAACTTGGATATACTTCTTACTTGATGCAGAGATTGATTCTGGGGAAGCAAAGTCACATTTATTTCACGTAAGGAAGGTAAGTGATTTTATTCATGGTATAGTAACACATACAACGATATTGTCTTCTCAGATCCTAGATTCATTAGTGCTCACCTGATACCAGAAAGTGATAATCCAGAAGATGACAAAATCTATTTCTTCTTCCGTGAAAATGCAATTGATGGAGAGCACACTGGAAAAGCCACTCATGCCAGAATAGGGCAGATCTGTAAGGTAAAATGATGTCTTTGTGTGAGATTGAATGTACTAGCAGGACACCGGCAATTTTGGAAACTGCATTTTCATGCCTGTAAACTATTCAGTGTTAGCCCTGGCATTGTAGTGAAGCAGAGTGATAGTTATTGGATACAGGCAAAGATATGACTTTATGTTTAAAAAATCTTAGGCATCTTCTGATGCTTAGAATGTTTCTGCAGAAGTAACCTTTTACAGGAAATGTGGTACTTCCAGGTAGGCCAAAAACATTTGAAAAATTTATTTTTAAAGAATGTTAATACTTTTTCCATTTCCACATTAGTGAAAATCCTTGAAACAGAGGCAAAGGAAGATTCAACAAAATAACTGTTTAATTTAGCTGTAGAAATGGGCAACTATCCAGAAGACTGTTAATGATTGCAGATTGAATCATCCACCCACACTGATAAATGTCCAAATATTTTCTGACAGACTTAAAAAAACCCTACAAATTAAATTATATTCATAAATGTTGTAACTTTGGCATGTAGGATGTTTACTTTAAAATTCTATGTTAATCCATACACATAATAGTGATATGGTTTAGTGGAGGACTTGTTAGTGTTAGGTCAGAGGTTGGACTCGATGATCTTGAGGTCTCTTCCAACCTACACAATTCTGTGATTCTTTGATAATTTTAGTTTATCCCTCAAATCCAGAAATGACTGCTTGAAAACCAGTTACTTTGTAAGTATGAGTTCCTTGGTGTAACTCTACTCAGACGTTATGCAGCAATGCAACCGATCCCACTGTGTTGGCATTTCCACCTACTTTGTTCACATGCAATTAGTATATCCACTTTGTTGCTACACAGCTAAAAATAATGAACCCTGTAGGCCTTAGCAAGCCATGTCAGCCTGAGAGCTCTGGGGTAAAATATTCTGCTTGTCTGTCTTTTTTTCAGCTTTATATATATAATATATATAGGGAGTTTATTGCTATTATTATTCTCTAAATGTTGTGAACTATAAAGTGATACTGTGAACTATGTGGTGATCCTGTGTAAAATAAAATTAATTCAGAATTGATGTCTGGCATCATAATTATGTTTTTATATGTAGAAGTTGAATTATTTTTTGTTTTCTATAAGTAACACCCTGTGATTATTTAACATATTTTCTCTGCACTCTGTTGATCCTTCAAAGACTGTTACTAGGTATTAATGCAAAATACTTCTATTATTAGAATGACTTTGGTGGACACAGGAGTCTTGTTAACAAATGGACAACTTTCCTCAAAGCACGTCTGATTTGTTCTGTGCCAGGACCCAATGGCATTGACACACACTTTGATGAACTACGTAAGTGACAGAGTGGCTTTGAATATAAAAGCATTTTCTGGTATTATCCATACAGAATGTTACTTATTTTCTTTCTCTGTCTCTTGTTATTGTTACAGAGGATGTGTTCCTAATGAACTCAAAAGACCCTAAAAATCCAATAGTCTATGGAGTGTTTACAACTTCCAGGTACAGAATGTATCATTTTACTTGCATGGAAGCTTGGGTGGTTGCTTGTTTTAAAGAGGTCTCTTAGTTAAAAATGTTTTTAAGAAACACAAAATTTTCTTAACCTTTGAACTGAGAAGTCAGCAGCAGAAAGAAGTAATTAATTAGGTTTCTTTTCTTTCGGGCAATGTATATCATCACTCTGAAGCAAGTAATCACAAAGACTATCGGTTTCTCATGTTGTTCTTGCTGTTGAATTGCATTTTAATAGTGGAGATAAGAATTTGTAGTCCTTTCTACACAGACCTGGAAAAGTAACATAAGCACCAGTATTGTTTGTTTGGGGGAAGGGTAACAGAAAATCCACAATATTAGAATTTTGCTACTCAAGGAAGTATTAGTTAAAAACGTTGCTGAAATCTGAACGTTTTAAAAATCTTTCAAAAGTTCTGGTATTGAATCACATGTAACTGTGACTTGAATGTTTTGGTTTCATGGTGTTTTCATCAGAAACAAAATTATACTTGTAGCTTTGGCCTGAGGAAGGTTTGCAATACTAGGTACACAGAGCATTGCCACATTTATCTATAAAGGATGAAAGATTCCGTTTGTAGACAGACAAAATGTTGCTAGTGATAACCAGGCATAGAAAAGGAAGAATTATAAATGCTTGCTGTTGTCTCCTGTTAAGAAATTTCAAGGTAAGAAGCAACACGGAAGTTTGCATGTGTACTACCCAAACTGTTTTCTGTAGGTCAACAAAGTTACAAAAGAGACTGCTAAAAAGTAAATTAAAATAGAAAAATGTAAAGAGTAGGAAAGAACTTAACAATCTTCAACAAGCCCTGGTGAAGTTTACTCAGACTGGTGCTTTGGACTTGTGGGGACAATATGTTTTTAATAGTGGAATAGTAGCCGTTTGCTTAGCACAACGTCTGAGAGATCATATCAGCTATGCTGAACTTTCACAAGAGGTGAGTTAGGATTGTTCCGAGAGCATGTCAGAGTTTTGATAATCAACACATGTAATAAATTAGAAAGCAACAAGCTGTTATTCCCATAGCTCACCCACCTGATTAAACCGACTGATAATTTAAAGAACCTGATTTGACTTCTTCTCCCCTTATTTTCAGTAATATCTTCAAGGGGTCAGCAGTATGTATGTACAGCATGACAGATGTGAGGAGGGTATTTCTTGGTCCCTATGCACACCGAGATGGCCCAAACTATCAGTGGGTTCCCTACCAAGGGCGAGTGCCATACCCACGGCCAGGAACTGTAAGTACCCTAAGAAATCTAGTAATCTAAAAAGAGAAAACCATGGAAAATATTTTCGCACATTATATGGTCCTTGAGCTGAGATCCAAAACAAAAACTGAAAAAGATGACCCAGACTGAGTGTCAGAAGGGAAAGTTTCTCCAGGTCCAAAATTTACTGATTTTCTTGTAAAATATGAACTCAGTATATCTGTGATCTAATTTCATTTGGACCTTCATTTTGGCATTCTTGTCAACATAACAATGCTTTGCTGCAGGATGCAATGCTATGGCTGCAGGAATTTGCTGAAAGTCAAATGTGTAATAAATTACTCTGCATTATTGTCTCCTTGGAATTTGCATTTGTTCCAAACACTGGCAGAACCATTCTTGGTGAGAATGAACAGAAGACAGAGCATCTGCCTGACTGTTAAGAAACACTGAATTGTTTGCAACATTCAGTCTAGTACAGTAAGACATATTTCTGCAATGGATGTTAGAGTAACAATAACTGATTTCTTCTGTCATTTCTTTTTAATCTGTGCCTCTACCTGTTTCCGTTTCTAGTTTATGAATGACTAAAATATTGGTGTATATGAGACACACATACCTACAACTGCAAACTGATATCATCACATTCTAGAAGTATTTTACTGCCTCAAAGTTGCCACTAGTCTAAGGAGATAGGGAATTTATGAGAAAAGCACTTATTGTATACATCAGGATAGCTCCTTAGCTGGTGTAAATCAGCTTGATCCATTTATATTCTGGAATATCATTACTGAATATAAAGCATCCATACACATGCAAACATAAATAGAAACATAAATAATGTATCTGTTTGTAATATTTCTTAAAAGTGTTCTTAAATACAAGGCAGGAAACAAACCAGGAACAGGTTTGATCCTTTCTCTTTTTTAAACCATCTGATCTTCTATTTTTATCTGGTATGTTTTAAAAAATGTTATTTCAAATCTGATTTTTTTAACTGATTTCCAGCAGGTAGACAGTCTATATGCTTAGCCTAACAAAAGTGACCTCCTATGTAAAACAGTGGTACCCTGACAGCCATAAGCCATATTGCCCAGTTTCTACTTCCTCTGCTAAAGGAATTCCTAATTCTTTCCAGAGTTAAAAGACAGAACAAGGGAGGTTTTATTTCTTTCTTGATGATAAGCTTACACTTACAATTTCACTGTAATATATATATACTAAGATTCACCAAGAGCATGCAAAGACATCGGGATTTCCTTGTAAATTACTTTCTTATATAAGGATGAATGTGTTCCCAAATTCTACATAACCCTTCAGTTGCGTCATGTAGTGCAAGAAGCTATGCCAGTGAAAATTAAGTTAATAAAAGAGTGGCTGAGACCATCAGTTTCTCCACTGCCAATGACTCTAATCCTTGTGTCTACCACTTTGAAAAAAATTTTTTTCTTGTATTCACAAAACTCATTCTCTTGTATTAGTATGATAAAAGTGAATTTAAAAATGAGAGACATCTCTGACCACAACAGAGATTTTATTTTTCTAAAGTGATAAAATTGAATTTACTTTCAATGATGTGTTGAGAATAGAGAAGAATAATTTTTTGAAGTTCCTTTAGATGTCAGACTTGTAGCTTCCTTTTCCCTAAAGGGAAAGAGACGGAAAAAAAACAAAAACAAAAACAAAAACAAAACAAAACAAAAAAACTGAACTTACAGTGATTCAGTTCCAGCTCTCACTGAACAGTGCTGAATTATCTGAGGAATTTCATAGGTGAGGTGCCAATGTACTTCCCAAGCATCTGGTGACTTGCCCAGTCGGAGTAAAGAAAAGGAAAATTAAAGGTTCTTTTGAAAAGCTGGAAAACTTTGTAAACAATTCTACATCAGCTTTATATTTAACAAATAAGTTGCCAGCATTTTTCCTTTAAACTCTACAGAATTTTATTTATTTACTTAACCTTTTAGTATTATTTGGAAGAGAAGGGAGGATTTTTATATATACCAAATTTGAATCATGAATTCATACTGATTTTATATGAATTCAGATACAAAGCCTTAGTCTTAATTTTCTCTCCTTTATGCTGCCAAGACTCTACTTTCAGCTGTGTCCAAAGGCCTTTTGTTTCCTAACAAAATGTAGTTTTTGTTTTAGTCTGTTGGATTCCTTGGTAGTCCAGTTAAGGTATAGCCTAGTCAACTTTTATTGACTTATCAAAATCCTTAGCATAGCATATTGAAAATCAACAACTGGATGAAGATACTAAACAGAAGAGTTCAGTTGACTTCAAGATCAAGTTAATCTC